ACCACCAGACTGTTCTCTGTTTATGAGTGTACTTTTGTTTTTAAATTCCACATATAAGTGAAATCATATGGTATTTGTTTCTCTCCAACTTATTTCACTTAGGCCTAATACCTTCTAGGTCCATCCAGGTTGTCACAAATGTTAAGATTTTGTCCTTTTTTATGGCTATATTCCATTGTATATATGCACCACATCCTCTTTATCCATTCATCTATCATAGGACTCTTAGGTTACTTTCATATCTTGGCTATTGTAAATAATGCTGCAATAAACATAGGAGTGCATTTATCTTTTCAGATTAGTGATTTTGTTTTCTTCAGGTAAATTTGCAGAAGTGTAATTGCTGGGTCACATGGTGTTTCTTAGTTTTTTGAGAAACCTCCAAACAGCTTTCCACAGTGACTACACCAATTTACATTCCCACCAACAGTGTACGAGAGTTCTCTTCTCCACTTCACCACCAACATGTTTCCTGCCTTGCTGATGACATTGGCTACTCTCACTGATGTGAGGTGGTATCTCGTTTTGGTTTTGATTTCCATTTCCCTGGTGATTAGTATGTTGAGCATCCTTTCATGTGTCTGTTGGCCATCTGTACGTCTTTGGCAAAATGTCTCTTCAGGTCCTCTGTACATTTTAAATCAGATTTTTTTTGGTGTTGAGTTGTATAAATTCTTCATATATTGAATATTAGCCCCTTATCAGGTATGTGTATCAATTGAAAATCTCTTCCATTCAGAAAGCTTCCTTTCTGCTTTGTTGATGGTTTCCTTTGCTGTACAGAAGCTTTTTAGTTTAATGTGTTCCCACTAGTTTATTTTTGCTTTTGTTTCCCTTGCCTGGGGAGATGTATCCAGAAAAAAATTGCTAAGGCCAATATCTAAGAGTTTAATGCCTAAGCTTTCTTCTAGGAGTTTTATGGTTTCATGTCTTATACTTAGGTCTTTAATCCATTTTCAGTTAATTTTTGTGTATGGTGTAAGGCAGAACCCTTTTCTGTTAGCCACATTGTCACAAGGTTGAGAGAGCTTAGGGTGTTCTGGATCTCCAGCTTCACAGAATTTCCCTAACTATTCTTAAACATACAAGTATGCACATATTTCTTGAATGAACCATATTATTTAGAAGTGAGCTCTAACACTAAAGGCCCTGCCTACTTCAATTAGAAAAAATAAGAAAAAAATCCTATCCATCTGAAAGTGGCTGAGCACTCAACAGTAAGTAAGCACTGTAACCTACTATAAGTAACATGATCCAATAAAAAGCTAATCTTTCAAATTTAAGCTTAACAGACTACCAGATGCTATGTACAACCTGAAGGACCACATCATCATCTATGAAGAAGTCTTGCCCATCCCCCCAATGAAAAAAATCTATACCTGATCATGCTTGAATTCTATCAATTTACAGAAAATGAAGAGGAACAAGTTAAACCATACCACAAGGTTACAGTCAGCAAAAACTGCCAGAAAAGCTGCAGAACAATTTCAACACAAAAAATTCAAAAGGAGGGAAAAAAGGTATCTATAGATTAGAAGATAGCAATTAAAAACAATATATGATCCTTATTTGGATCCTGATAGAACTAAAAATATCTATGTATGACATTTGAGACAATAAAAATTCAGTTACTAGGTATCTGATGATTTAAGTACTGTTGACTTTATTTTTTTAACATGTGTGATGATGGTATTGTGATTATGTTTTCTAAAAATCTGTTTCTTTTAGATAAAAACTGAAATATTTATGTAAAAAAAACCCTGAAGTCTTATTTTAAAGAGTTTAAAAGCAACATACAATTAGTTAGCTTTGGGCCACTCTTGAAACTTCTCAACATGTTAAGCTGTAATCAATCATCTTTCTTTCCTAGTCTATCATACTATAAAGTTTTGACAATATATAGCCGAAATGGGGGAATCACTTATTTTGCTAATAAAAGAAGTAGAGCCAAGTCAGTTCAAACAGCTGGTACTGGGATATATTCCCCACCCTCTAGCAGAGATATGGGCAATGCCAGAGGGATTACAACACTAGATGATGCAATTTAACAATTCATTTTCAATCTAAAAAGGCCCTATTTAAATTCGATTCTTCAAAATAAAAATGATTCCATCATCTGTAACTAGCCCTACATGACAATCGCTCAAATCACTATACTATAAGCATTTGCCAGAACTTGATTTTGATTTTAAATGAATGCAGGAAAAGCCCTGAAACAAGTTTGGCTTATATTCAAATGTGAGAGCCTATATATATGGTCAGAAGTAAAGACTGCCAAGTTTGGTCTCAGATTACCTAAATTGATAGCACAGCTCTGCCAGTTCCTTGGTATATGAACTCTGCAAGTTTCTTAACCTGTGTGCCTTTGATGCTTGTCCATAATATGGGGATAATGGTACCTGCCTCATAGAGTTGTCAGGAGGATTAAATTAATACACATAAAAATGTACAGGTGACTCATACAAAGCAAATACTCAATAAATATTGGTTATATGTATGGTTCTGAGTTCAGAATTAGGAAGACTGTTGATCATAATTGAAACTTCTCTGATGTAAATATAACAATACAGTTTCAGAGAGTAGAATGTTTCGAAACATTCTCATGTCAGTGAACTAAGCCGCAGCACTGATTATGCTGAAACTGAATATAAGCTGAAGTTGTTACAGATAAAAGAACAGTCACTAAGTTATTTTGAAAATTTCTTTTACTAAAATTAAAAAAAAAAAACGAAACTGGGGGTGAAATTTCCCTTAAAAGATTTCATACTAGTTCTCGTCACTCAAGATCGACAGTAAAAAACTCTGCATAAGGTCTGTTTTAATGAAAACACACAATGAAATACTCTGCAAATGACTTAAAAATAAAAGTTATATGCCAGACAAATGTAAAAAAGTGAAGCAAGATGAGCTATTTTTCTGGTCATAAAATATTTATTAAGGTATACTTTAGGGAATATAGTGAATATAAAATTTAGGATCACAATATGAAGCAATTTCAGTCCTCTCGAAAGTCAGCCCAGCCCTCAATGCTCTGTAGATGTAAAACCACTGGTGAGACTCACTAAAAGCAGTTTGACTAGTACAGAAGAGGCTTTTCATGAACATTTACAACTAGATCATGTGAATACCTCTTTTAAGTGCAAAACCACACCACATTACACTAATGCAGCAACAATGCATTCATATTGTTCTCATTAGTCATTAGTAGTCAACTTGGATAAAACACCAGAAAAAAGAACAATGGGAGCTCACAAAATGGGCTAAAAATGGACCTGTCCTTGCAAAACACACTGTAATGGGAGCAGACATTAAAAATGTTTTATGCACACTACAGAAACCACGTTCATTCCAACAATCTCAAGTACCATTTCCTTTTCTGTAAAATCAAATTACATGAACCAGGCACAACTAATATTTGGGAGGCAGTGTGTAGCTAAAATTTCATTTAACTAATTATTCAATGATTTATAAAATCCCCATAAATCTTTTCTGTCCTGAGGTAGTTGCAAAATAAATCATAACTTGGATACCAACTAGAGCTGAGGCTTTGACTTTTTACTCATTAAAACTAGTTGTTACTGACAGGAACTACCTTTTGATATTTAAAAGACAGTTGAGAAATGGGCCTCTTAATACACACACAAGATGATGGCTACATAGGAAAGAGGATTAGCTGCTTCAGAACATGAGAGATATGGTCCACCATTGCTTCCACCCTCCCCGCCCCCACCCCCAGCCATTTCAGATTCTTTATTGTCCAAAAAGCCACCAGGAGCAACACAGTAGAAGTAGACAAGTCATCGTCCTTTGCTGTAGCCAGGGAAGAAAAGGTCAAGTAGAGTCTGCAGAATCTCATTGGGAATCATGATGTAATTCTGGCCAAGATCATGCCGGCAAGCAGGGCAGGAGAAAACTTGAGCCTTAAAGGAGCGCTGTAAGCAATCCTAAGGCAAAACCAAAAAACAAACAAACAAAGCACGCCGAATTTCATCGGAGGGTAATGCGTGTAAGGAAAGTTCTCAACAACTTAGGCTTTTAAAAGGAATTACAAACTTACTGTTTAGCAACAAGAGAAACATGAAAGATGAACAACTGTGAAAGCCTAAATGTGCGCTATGAAAACTAGCTTGCAGACGTAGCTTTTGTTCCACCTCTAGCGCATACTGTGAGACTTCATTCAGGTAAATGACTTCACTGTTGTGCATTTAATTTCCTATCCAGTAAAACAAGGGTGTTAGAATTATGTGTGGTTCCCACTAACCTCATCTTCTAGGTTGGGTTTTAATCCTGTTTTTCCCTGATAGAGCACTGAAGAAAAAAAATTCAGGACTCCTCTGCTTAGAACTCAGTTAAATATTTCATCAAATCAGTTAACGTATGTGTCTTCCAAAAGTATATTTATATAATATATTTAGTTAAACTAAATATATTATAGAGTTAACTGACTCATGGTCAGGCACAAACACATAAGGTGGAAGGGTTGTTTCCATTTTACAAAGAAACTAGTTCAGAAGTTAGGTTAGGGCACACAATAATCAGCAAGTAGTAAAGCAAGATCCCAACCTTGATTTGACTAAAAGTCAAATTTTCCTTTTATACCACACTGATAACACAATATTCAACTCCCTCTGGGCATGTGTTTAAGATTTCATTAAGTACATGGAAGCATTTCAGTTTCCACTGTAATATATGAAACAAACATAAGCTTTAAGAGAAAACAGCAGCAACATTTTACTTTCTTGTCCATTTCTACCCCTCCTCAACAATCCCAAACATGATAGAGTACCTGAACTGTACATATTTATTATTACTATATTTATTATTACTACAGGATTAAAATATGCATTTACCAGCAAGATATAATTAAATGTTGTGTAACTGGCAAGGTTCCATAATATTCTGTTTCATGGGAAAATGCCTCTTCACATGCTAAAAACAGGTTTAGAAGTCACTCTGCTTTACAGCCCAACAAGGGAAGGTGAGAAAGGAATTTTACTTACTTTACAGACATTGTGAAGACAATCTGTTGTCACAGGCTGGAAAACTAGCTCCTGGCAGCAGACACACATAAAAGATTGTTCCAATTTTTTCAGAAAATTCTAGAATGGTACCCAAGGAAAAGGAAAAAAGATTAGTATTTCATAATATCTTAATGAAATTCTAGGTGTTGAGAAAAAACTGTCTTAGTCACATTTAAGTAGCAACTGTATCGAACGTATTGCAGAAACTGAAGAAACCCACTCCAAGATAGACACATTAGTTTAATATCTTAGATTTTGGTTGAAAAGGTTGTGAAGTCAAAATATATGGCATTAAAAAGTGAAAGGCCCCCTTAACCTTGCATTTCAGATTACTGTTTTGCACATAAAAAAAAAATCATGGACAATTTGTCTCAAGATTATTACATATAGAATTTTTTCCCCAAAAAGCTGCATGGTATCCCAGTATGTGAACATGTATAACTTTTGCTGTGATGAGATTTCATTACGTGCTTTTTAAGCCAAAAAAATAAAAATAAATAAAAGCAGTGGACAATAATACTCTGTAGTACCTAAGACCCCAAACAATCATTATATTTATTTTCTTAGGATTAACTTCTGTGGTATTTTGCCTCAATCGAAAATTTCCATATTTTTCTGATAATGTTTATTCAAATTGGGAGTAAATTATTAAAGGTAAAGCAATCTAAAGCAAACATGATCAAATGGGTACTCTGTACTCTTCAAAAACCATTACTGGTTCCATTTTACCCAAGTTGTTTCTTTTAAACTAAAAAGAGATACTCACAGGATAATTCTCCAGTTATTTTTAGTAGTAGGTGAGTATATTTTTTTGTTCTTTATGTTAATAGAGAAAGAATTTACAATAATTTGAAGTAAAAACAAAATCAAAGATCCCATTTCAAAGTTATATCTTGATACTAATTTGTTTATGAATATGTATTATAAAAGTCAAGTGAATTATCAACAAAGTATTATGCATCACATTAAGAAAATAACAGGAGATGTGGAAAAACTCAAACCTTAAGGCTGGTTACTCTCTCCCTGACAAACTACTTTGTTAATGACCTTTCCCCACTTACTCCACAGTACTTTTAATATTAGTGTATCAACTACAGATATTTTGAGTTCCTACAATGTGCTATGGCACTCTATGTAGTGGTGATGAAAAAGTAAAAATCTCTGCTCTCTTGGAACTTTGTATTCCTTTAGGAGAGGAGAATTAAAAAAAAAATTCAATTTCAGTGGTAATAACCGAGGAAACAAAACAAAACAATAGAGTGGCTTTTTTTTTTTTAGAAAGGGTTGCCAGGGAAGGCCTTTTTGTGGAGTGTAATACTTTTGCAGACTTACAGGATATGAAAGAGAGAGCCACATGAATATGTAATGGAGAACAGAGTATGTGTGTAAAGGCCTAGGAGCAGGAACAAGCTGAATGTGTTGAAATAGCACAGAGGTCACTGCAGATGAAGCAGTTTGGGCCTGAGAGAGTAGCAAGAGGAGACTGCAGAAGTAGGTAGGAACACAAGATCACACTGAGCCTTGGGAAGGTATTTGGCTATAAATGTACATACATGTAATATATGCATTTATTTAAAAGTCACCATTACCAACACTTGATTTTTCTGGCTTAATAAACGTGTTCCTGGCTTATCTGAAGAGAATGTGCCCAAAACCTGCCCAGGGTATAAACATCTGAAGTAAATCACTGCAGCAAGGCCAGTCAGCTGACCATCGCACAGGAGGTCCTGCCACCAATGAGGACGACTGGTTTTGTCTCTTTCCTGTTTGAGTACTATCAATTGGTGACTTTATTTCATATAAAAGTCACACTACATAAGAGATTGGAAAATCAACTAATAAACTTGATTTGCACATACTTGCCAAGTCTCACAGAGTTCAACCACTTTGATAATATTTATTATTGATAGTCAGGATATATATATTTAAAGTCTGACATCAAAGGCAGATACACATGACCACGCCGGACAGCAGCTCTGCAAAAGAGAACTTTAATGTTTACACAGGTGGCCTTTTCCTTCACCTCTACCTGCTACTTTTTCTTGTTACCATTAATCTATAATTACATGAGCAACATTATGGTTACTAGACTTCCCCCTTCAAGTCCCCCCCCCACATACCCCATTACAGTCACTGTCCATCAGCATTGTAAGATGCTATAGAATCACTACTTGTCTTCTCTGTGTTGTACAGCCCTCCCTGACACCCCCCCCCAACATTATGTCCGCTAATAGTAATGCCCCTTTTTCCCCCTTGTCTCTTGCTTTCCACCCATCCTCTCCAGTCCCTTTCCCTTTGGTAACTGTCAGTCCATTCTTGGGTTCTCTGAGTCTGCTGCTGTTTTTGTTCCTTCAGTTTTTTTCTTTGTTCTTATACTCCATATATGAGTGAAATCATCTGATACTTGTCTTTTTCCACCTGGCTTATTTCATTGAGCATAATACCCTCTAGCTCCATCCACTTTGTTGCAAATGGTAGGATTTGTTTTCTTCTTATGGCTGAATAATATTCCATTGTGTATATGGTACCACATCTTCTTTATCCATTCATCTACTGATGGACACTTAGGTTGCTTCCATTTCTTGGCTATTGTAAATAGTGCTGCAATAAACATAGGGGTGCATCATATGTCTTTTTCAAACTGGGCTGCTGCATTCTTAAGAGTAAATTCCTAGGAGTGGAATTCCTGGGTCAAATGGTATTTCTATTTTGAGTTTTTTGAGGAACCTCCATACTGCTTTCCACAATGGTTGAACTAATTTACATTTCCACCAGCAGTGTAGGAGGGTTCCCCCCCTTTCTCCACATCCTCGCCAACAGCATTTGTTGTTTGTCTTTTGGATGGTGGCCATCCTTACTGGTATGAGGTGATATCTCGTGATTTTAATTTGCATTTCTCTGATGATTAGCTATGTGGAGCATCTTTTCATATGCCTGTTGGCCATTTGAATTTCTTCTTTGGAGAAGTGTTTGTTCAGATCTTCTGCCTATTTTTTAATTGGATCATTTGCTTTTTGTTTGTTGAGGCGTGTGAGCTCTTTGTATATTTTGGATGTCAACCCTTTATTGGATATGTCATTTATGAATATATTCTCCCATACTGTAGGATGTCTTTTTGTCCTATTGATGGTATCCTTTGCTGTACAGAAGCTTTTCAGCTTGATATAGTACCACTTGTTCATTTTTGCTTACCTGCTACTTTTGTTTCCAGCCTACCCATAGCTGGACTCATCTGAGTTACCCCTCACCAGCTGTATCCCTTCCAGCCATAGAATAACTAGACTGTGATCAGCAAATACTTGCTCTACCTTACTTGCTGCTCTAAGAGAAGATGACTCACCAGAGCTAGACTCACCTTATGCTGGGTCTCTTGGCTAAAAAGCAAGTTAACATTTCTAACAGAGCAAAATCACTTTCCTTCTGTCCTCCAAACAGGGAAGCCGCATTCTACCAAGGATAATTCAACAGACTACATTTATAAGCAAAGGAAATGATGACTCCAAAATACATCCAAAGGGAAGCTGATAAAACCTCACCCATTTCTAAAACCGTATCAGGAAGATCCTTCCTTAATAATGTGACTTTTTCTCAAAAAGCACACAAAACTCTGATAATTCCCTCTAAATCTGGATAGAAAGCACAGATAGATATTCATCAACCCCATTTCAGACACACAAGAAGTCCTAGCTTATGCACTGAGAAAAATACAAGGAACACTGGAAAAAAGAAATTACTAAGAGATGACAAGATGGAATTTCAAGAGAATCTTAGAGCCATCCACAATAGCTGCGTATCATAGTACTTTGGAGAGAAAGACATCAGCAAAGTAACTATATTACACATGGCAAGAGGTTAATATCTAATAAAAAAGAAGATTCAAACTTATAAGCAAAATTAAAGACAATAAAAGCCAGTGAGCAAAGAATGAACAAAAATCTCCAGCTTTTGGGATTTGGTAAGAAAACATCACTTGCAAAAACAGCTTAACCCAAATTCCCATATTGGTTAACCTTGTAATTCCTTTTCACTTTAGAATTTTATGATTACCATAAAAATCCAGAAATGTGAAGTATTTAATTAAATAAATTAGCCCTGGTTTCTTTTACACCTTGACTGAACACATAAGCACTGAAAACTATGAATTTTTTTTTTACTTATGCTATTACATAACTTTGAACTATAACAAAAAATTTCCTGTGAGTTTTAGATTAAGTTGAGTATGTTCCACAGCTGAAAATTCTTCCCATGAATAGCACCTCAACATAAATTATTAAGTTTAGGCATAGAGAAGTCAAAAACCAGTATCTAAGAGTCCTAAAATCAATTTAAAAGCATTTCAGTATTGTCTCAGATTATTCCTGAAAGGTGGAGACCACTGGATGAGAAGATTGGATAAAAAGATCAAGTTTTGACTGACTTTGATTAACAAATGATATTCTCCATCATTTGCTAATATTAGAACATTATTATTTAAAAAAAGAAAGAAAGAAAGAAAAAGCTTTACATACTGGTCCTTCCACAAGAGATGCAAGTACTTCATCCCACAGCTTCTGGTTTTGATGATCTTCTCTAATTAGATGTTGTTGTTGAGGGGTTAGTTGGAAAGCCTCAACTGCTCCTGATGAATCTGTTGCTTTGAATACTTTGGAAGCACTTGGACAATCATCTAGATTTATTTAAAAATACATCAGCAGACTTACAGGTGATTCTAAGCAGAACTATGAAACAAAAGAGTTAACTGGCACTGGTAAGGTAAAGCACGAAGGTAACCTGCATAAAGCAGCATCTAATTTCCCCTGGAGTGTAGGATCTGTATTTGCTATTTTTTGGCTCTGGTACTAATAAAATACAACAACCCCTCCCCTGCACCTGACCCCACCCCCACCAAAAAAAAACCCCTTCATTTTCTTTTCATTTTGTGTGGGTTTCTCAATTCATTCTCTTAATATTTCCCTTTTTAGAAACTATGTTATTAGGATTTATGTTCAGCAATCATTACCTACCATCTGTAGCTGGTCTTTTTGAGGCTCCATTGGCCTGCTTCTTTGACTGTCCTTTAGTCTTCTTCCCTTCCTTATCTGAAGGGTAACCTACTGGATACTGATGGGGGGAAAAAGTACAAATATATTTAAGTTTCACAGAGAAGGGAGGTTCTAGATCCTGGTAAGAAATTTAAAAAGGGGTTTGGGGATGAGCCTATACTTTCCCTAAGTGGACTTTAAAGGAAATAGACATTTAAAGAAACAAAATTCAAAAGACAGAAGACTATTAAACTCCTAAACTCAGTGTAAGCCATTTGGTTTTAAATGTTAAGATATTCCATTTTATAATACAATGATCTTAGTTTCAGATTAAAAGGAGAGGTAAGTTTTCAAGAGTTGTGACTAGGTAGCTTAACAAATTTGAGGAAGAAAGTAGAACCCTGATATGAAGGAAAGTGAAGGTCAACCACCGTGCGCATACAGATGAGATGACACTAAACTGTGGGGCCAATCTTAACACACACACAAAAAAGAAGAAATCCAAAACATTAAGGGCCAAATTTCTTATCTCCTAAAATTAGAAGACCTAAAACCAATAAAATGATTGAACTGTTTAACAACCAAAGGTTAGACTAACAAATAAATTCTACCTATTATCCTTGTGTTTTACTGGCTACCCCTTTTTTCTCTTGGTATGCTTTGTGATAACACTCATATTTAAAGCTTAATGTTTCAGGCCTCATCAATGATATTATCATCTCAACCTAATAATAGGGCTTATCTGCTTCTGCTCAGTTTTAAATGTAATCTACACAGAACATTGCTCTGCTGAACATTGGATCTGAGAAAAATCTTTTCAAAATGTGTCAACAACAACTTTTAAAAATATTTAGTTATAAAAAATTATCTTGGCAGTTATTTCAGCAGCTGATGGATTTCATTTGTTTCAATTTCATGAGTTTAAAAAGAAAACAAAAATAGAAACAGACTTGCACTAGAAGACACACACTCACCTGCCTGGGTGGCCAGACACTTGCCCATAGTTCAGCCCCTACACATGCAGTGTGGGCAGAGCCAGGGAAATGACAAAGCTGGTAGTCTTTACGGGAAGCACAACAATGTGGAATGATGGAGGATGAACTCAAACCATGCTCTGAAGTCAGTGTCAGGGACAAAGTCCAGGGTGAACAGGCAGTGAAGGGGGAATGTAGCCATATCATCCATTATGCACACAAAGCCAACAAAGTCTTACATGGGTTAATAGCTGAGCATGGGCAAAGGGGGGGGGGGAGGGAAGGCAAAGCACTAAAGGTGGTGACAGGACAGGGAAGCAGCTTTGAGGGGGAAGAGAGAAAAGGGGTGAGGAAAAGTGAGAAGGGTAGAAAGCAGACCACTATTATAAGCCACCTCCCCCCTCTTCCCCTGCCAGAGATACAACCCCCTGTGCCCTCTAGGAGAAACTTCCCTTCTTAAGGTCTCCTATACCTAAATTTACATATCCCTTTCCCTCATACATTAAGGCATTTCCAAACTGACTTGGAAATATTTTACGTTGCATTGACAAACCCTGCTTTTCCCAGGCATAATTCTTGGTCTTATGGCATTTTGACACCTAGGTTACTACCTTTTTTACTTCTTTTCCTTCTGCATACTTGCATGATCTCATTCCTCACTGCTTACAGTCCACTGATCAACTGCTGTGGGTTATATCCAGTATTAAGGGATGAGACAGTATAGAGGTGTACATTTTATGAACACGCAAGTAGCCTAGACAAATGTAATCTAACCTGTAAACGTAGACATAGTCTCCTTGACCGTTCTATTCCTTCTGAGGTCCAAGGAGCAGGTTCAACATCATCTCTTCTTAAAAGATAGCGCCAGACCAAGAATCCATGGCTTGATGAAATCTCTGGCCAGTATTTCACCACCTAAATCATAATATTTCAGCGCTGGTTTGAGATTTAAAGTTTAGATTTATTCATACTGTCATATTAGTGGTCTAAGTAAATTTGGTAAAAGTAAACACAACTTAAAAGATACTTGCTGTGTTTTAAGAACAGTATGTAATATTCACTAAAATATTGTTTAACCTTATTTCCTAATTAAAATAGTTCCCAGAAGTACAGATAGCTACATATTTTAAATAGTAATAAGATTATGATCAATAATTAGTAATTTTGCATAATAGTAGGTAGGAGATGGCGGCAGTAGATGCCTCCATTTTTGAACAAAGAATATAACATTTTAAAAATAAAAATGTGCTCTGCTTTGCAAATCTATTGCAGTTAAAATCATTCTGAAAGATATGCAAGAATCAATATGTGCAATGGCCAAGTTATTTAAATAACTTTATCAAGAGAACATATATTTATAAAAAGCTTAATCCAAAATGTAAATCTGCCCTTGGGGACTTCAAATAAACCTTAAAAGAAAAGTATCAAAGTTAAGATAAGACCTTGCTTGTGCATCTGTTATATTTCCAGAAAAAGTAGAAATACTTAAGATGGTCTACTGATTCCTTTAGCCCACCCCCAGTAGCACAGTTCCCTGTGGCAACCCTGCCTTGAAAGCCCAGGAAGAATGACTAACAAGATGTCATGCCAGATAGAGCACCTTATAAATGCCATCATATCTGTTGCCTTCTTCAGGAGCATATTTGCTGATCTTCCTCCCTTTAAAACTGCGTATCACTCTGACAGGCTTACCAGCTCTCCAATTCCGAGACTCTGCTCCAATTTTATCATCCAATGGAGCATCACAGTTTAGGGCCAATGCCCTAAAAAATAAAACAAAGTCTTTATACCAAGTAATCTTTCTCTAAGTATATAATCGCATTATTAGCTCAATTAAAAGGTAAATTATGCCTTACCTGATGCTTAAGATTCTATGATTCTTTCCATATTATTCCAGATAATAGGATTATGCTTTCCCCCACCAGCAGAGAAGACAAATCAGTTTTCTGATGTCACCCCCAAGCCAGGGGATTGGTTCTCAGATAGCCTGTAGGGTTCTTCTGAAAGTAATAACATCTGTGCCACGTATAATAGAAAACAACTAGAAATACACGGAATTTTCTTTAAATAACGTTTGTTGAGGGAAGGGAGAAAATCGGAAAACTAAAGCAAGTGATTGTTGTAGTAGTTATTTTTGATAAAGGAGTGAGGTAATGGCTGGAATAATGCAGAAAGAAATCCAAAAAATAAATTTCAAGCAAGGTACAAATGACCTACCTAGGTTTACTTTCCTTATTCCAGACAATACGATTCTTTAATGTTTAGAAGCTATGAAGAACAAGTTCAATATGAGAATATCCTTGAAAGACCTCCAGTAAAAAGCAAGCTTAAATAAAACTGAAGCGCTTAAATAAAACTGAAGCATTCAAATGCCTATGCTAAATCACAACAATAAAGGTTTTTGGCTGCTCAAAATCACTACATTTTACTAATTACACATGAAACAAGGAGGAACACTGAGCTGGAAGCAGTGCCTGATTTAACTGAAGCCTCCTTAGTGGTGTACTCAGTAGTAATTAATCAGTAAGGTTATTAGATGTTAGAAGACCTTTCTTGAGGGAACTTAGTACTGCCAAACAAAACAAAACCCAAACTGGAATCTATTTAAAGTTAGTATTTTTCCTTCCCAAGACACCTACTTCCTACCTTAAACAAAAAGAAAACACTGAGAACATGTAAGGGAGGGTTAAAAACAAAAAAAGACAACCTCCACAGCCTCCCCTCCCCACAATCTGGTAAAATCAGGTATGATACAAAATACTTTTTCAGGGTATATAGTTCTTTTTATAAATAAGGCTCAAATTTAAAAAAATGACTCTAAACAACCAATCTACTGAAATCTCTTGATCATAATTTTTATATTGCAAAAGTAAGTATTTCATTAAAAAAAAACTTTTATAGGTGTGATCAAAGATAACCGTACAAAGTTTCTTTTTTATCTCAAAGAGAGATGCAGTAAAACTGGGAAATAGAAGATAATACAGCCATCAACCCTACGGATGGTTTTACCTCTGATTTATGGAATACCTACTGAGAGCCAGGATAAGAAGTACTATCTTCACATTAATGAATAGAATGCTTTGGTACTCACAGGTACCTTTAGTCATAACAACTGCCATGGCTAACTGGCATTATGAACCCACTTCTAGCTTCACATAAGAATGCAGGCTTTTCATGAATGTGAAGAGTCCAAGAGGATGAAATTAGGCAAAACAACAAAGCTGTCCAAAGCTCATTGAGTTCAGTTGCCTCTAACTGCCCTGATCAAAGACGCCCACGTTACCTTACTGCCCTCCTGAGTTACAGCTGAGAAGAAATAGGAACAAACTTCTCAATAGCAAGAAGCAGCTGTCAAACTATCTCTTAGGAGAACAGCAAATATGAACTGGAAAATATACTAGTTAGGAAAGAGTATCGTGTCAGTCAGTACTAAGGGCCTTCTACCTCAGTTTTCAAGTTTATAAAACATATAGGCACCTTTCTTTGCCTAAGAGGTCTTTAGAGTCACAGGTCATACCCACAGTTTAATGTATAAATTAACTGAATGGATGTTACAGTCTCGATGAAAAGTCAATCCTAAATTGTTTTGAGTATTTCATTTTCACTACCTTCCTTTTAATACATTTTTATGACCTGTTAATTATTTTCTAATGAGACTGTAACATATGGTAAATAGGCTATATTCACTACATTCTTCAAAAACTTGAAAAGGATCTACCATTTACCTTTACAAGTACCGCTAATTATAAAAGTTTCATTCAAGCAAAATAATCTACTATTAAAGGGAAAATACAGTTGTCCAATTTGACAACTTCAAAAGCTCTTTTGCAAACTCAAGATACATTTTCATTGACAAAAACACATCAAAATATTTCTAACTCTTTTTAAGATCATTCCTTCTAAAGAGCTGCTTTCCTGCTAAAGAAAGATTGACTAGGGACTAGAACCTGCCTCAGGAATGTTTTCACCAGCAAATCTGACCTGTCTCCTCTGCTGGTTCTTCAGTAAAATAATCCTACTGTCAGAAATAATATAGAAGGAAGACATAAAAACAGATTCTAAGTAACTTGGTATATAACAAAGTCTTAAAATCATACTAGTATATTCTATACTTTTCAGAGTAATCAGAAATTAAGGGCATACTACTTAAAAACTCAGACTCAAACCTTACACTCAAAAAAGCAAAAAATACTCACTTTTAAGCAATAATCCACAAAACACCCTTAATAATAGAATATAAAAAATTTCAACTTTATGAAATGATTGTAAAATTATCAGTATGGTAAGTTATAATGTGATCACTGCTATCTGATGATTTGGGTTACTTAATCTATTATTATTAACATCTGCATGCATTTATCAAATAAAGCATTCTGAAGTTGTTAAATTTTCTTTTCTCATGGAAGTTGAAATGTCATTTACACTTCCACAGAATAAAGGTTAACACAAGGTGGCTCTTTTGTAATGCTTTATAAGCATTTAGTTAGACAAGGTCACTTCTGCAATTGAACATTCTTAAGTAACATTAAAAGACATCTTACTATAAATCCTAACAGCATCTTGAGTGCAGTTCCGAGTAAGTTATCTGACATTTCATTTATATGCATACACGTGGCTCCCAAACTTAACCCTATTGAGTCTCCTCTAAAAAGAAGTTTGTCACTTTAAAAGGTAAATCTATGTTGAGTAAAATATAACTTTGACCTTTGGTGAAATAGGTAAGCCACCTGGTCCTCAACTGCACTTAAATTTATAGGCTCCTTTCCTTCAAATGTTTCAACATGTTTTCAAATGCAAAGCATATACATTACAACTGGAAATTACATCATTTTAAAAATAACAAAATGAAGAAATGTTACAATGCTTGCAAAGTCATATGAGGTAATGAGATTTTAATTTTAGATCTTTAACTCTCAATTTAAGATTCTCCTCTGTAGTCTAAGCTACCAATTACAGTCCCATAACCAAACTGTGATACAAAGCCCAAATTCAAAATAGTCTTCACAAACTCTAACAACAAAGAGTACCTGTTCATGTTTGTTAATGTTTGATCAGCCGATGGTGCACCAATTCTTTTATTGCCAGCAAGATTTTTACCACCACTCCCAGTGTATGTGAATTCATCACCTCGGTCCTGAAGGAGAAGATTTTCAGCATTAACACACCTAAACCCAACGATAATTTCTTCGTTTACAGAACATTATTATGAATTAACATGTTCCCTCAAGATATATACCAAAATAAGGCAAAATTTAAACACAATCTTGTATGCACTATACCTTCAAGTTTTATCACTTGACCTAAAGATTTCATTTTAAAGTTACAGTTTCCAATACCTCCAAACATGGCTATTCTCATATTATATATCCAATAAAATAATCTATAAAATGTTAATGAAATAGGGCCTATATGGGCTGGGAATATTGTTTCATTTAATTCAATTTTATCAGAATACCTTTACCAATATTAGCTTGTAGGTTCTTTACCACTTAAATAAATACTCCATAACTGATTTTCCAACAGCAGTTTACACTGCACCCATGTTTGCTGCTAAATTTTAAGTTCAAAATCCTAACAGTATGCTAAGTGTTTGATATTTCATACTCTATGGGTTCACTCAAATTACATTCAGGTAAAATAATCGCTTAACATTAAAATGAAAGTTAGAAAAGAACTTGAAACTGTAAGTTGTATATCTCCTAGATGTGAAAAAAATATACTAAAGGAATATGTTACATAAACTAGCCTCACAAACACTGTAATTGTGGGAGTGTTGTAAAGTAAAAAGTAGTGGGGACTTGGAGAGCTATTTAATAGGGAAAGCCTAAGCTAAATATGTTTAAAACAGAAGAACAAAAACATTTCTGATTATTCTTCATGAGCAAAATAATCAAGTAAGAATAGTTTAAAAATTCTGTCATTAACTCATTTACACTTCAATCTTTACATCACCAAACACTTCTAATTATCATCAGGAAAAAAAGAATTGCCAGACTGTCAGAGCTCAGAATTTTCCTCTGGAAAAATAATCAGCCTAAATTTGTTGTATCTTCTAGCCCATGCTCCACTAAGCTGTACCTCTGAATTCTTGTTATATGGCCACAACTCCATAAATTATCTCATTTAATATCAATAACTTTATGATATAAAATCATGACACTATTTTTTCTATTTTACACATGGAGAAACTGAATTTTACTGGAGTTAAATAGATTTGGTCCACACAAATTTGAAAGCCCAGATCAAATACAATTGGCCAGGTGCTAAAAACATATGGCAAAGAGACTCTAATTTTCAGTTGGTTTGTCTTCTTACAGAGCCATAAAGAAAATTCTAGGGGCTGACTATAATAAACTGTATAGCATTCCTATTTCTGAAAAACACTTCAAGATCATAGCTTCAAAATATGCACATTAAAGGGGTACTCAAAGTATTAACCTGGGTATTTCCATTTTCAGTTTCCTTTGCCATACTAATGTAAATGTACTGCCAAATTTGCCTTTCATTAAGATGGCATGGTTTTCTACCTTGAAAACATACATTTGCAGCTTTCCATGGCTACTCTAAATCATTATGATATACCATGAAAGCAAGCAAATGAAAGAGAATGGGAAAAAATACCTGCAAAGTATATATTCAATAAACAGTAAAAAAACAAAAAACGCAATTAGAAAAAAGGTAAAAGACCTGAATAGACAGATAAACCACCATACCACCAAGAGTTTATACACATAGCAAATAGCAAATAAAACAAGTCCAACATCAGCCTTTAGGGAAATGTCATTAACCGCAATGAGATATCCCCACACACCCACCAGAATGGCTATAACAAAGCACCACCACCAAATGCTGGCGAGGTTGCAAAACTGGATCACTCATACACTACTAATAGGAATGCAAGTGGCACCGTCTCTCTTGAAAACAGCTTGGCAGTTTCTTAAAAAATTAAACATGTTAATTACCATAAAATCCAGCAATTGCACTTTTAGGCCTTTATTCCAGAGAAATGAAGACTTGTTTACAAAAAAAACAACCTTTACACAAATGCTTACTGAAGCTTTATAATAGCCCCAAACCAAAACAACCCAGATATTCTTCAACATGTAAATGGTTAAACAAACTGCCACACACCTATATCATGGGCTATACTACTCAGCAATAAAAACTGAACTATTAATACATGCCACAATTTGAGAATTGTCAAGGGTTGGGGGAGCAGATATAGTAGACGTGGCTATAAAAAGGCAACAGGAAGGGACCCTAGTGGTAAAGGAAATGTTCAGTGTCCTGAATGTATCAGTCAATATCCTGTAGTAAAGTTTTGCAAGATGCTACCACTGTGGGAAAATGGGTAAAAGGCAGAGAGATCTCTATGGTATTTCTAATGTCGCATGTCAACCTGCAATTGTCCCAAAATCGTAAGTTTAATTTTAAAGCAATAGGCTCTGTAGAGAATGTATTTTCACTCCAATTATCAGTTACTACATGTCTATGTAAATCAAATCAGTACACGCAAAGATTAAAGACTGCCAATTGATTTACCATGTAGCTTATATAGAACTGGCCACTTCAACATGAAAACCATGCTAAGAAGAGATGGTATTTGGTATACCCTACACAAACCTTCGGTATTTTAACGAATGACCATGACAGGTTCTAAAGAACAAGGTTGTATTAGAACTTACTACTTCATCCGCAAATCCACCAGCCAGGACAAGAGAATAAGCCCCATCATTACTTCGACCATGAATTCCACCCACATGGGGTCTATGGACACCCGCTTCGCTCACCTATGAAAGAAATAAGTCTCAAAATACCTTTGAACAGTTGATGAAATTATACTTACAAAATGCTTTCACATATTGTATTAGATCCTAAAAGCCTCCAACTAAGAACTGAGTGTCACCCAAAGGTCTATCTTCTACTCACTGACTTCACTTCTAACTATATATCCCTTAGGTACTGAGCTGATTGATGACTCTTAAAACTGCTTAGGCCTAGAATTCTGAGTTTCAAAATAATTAAATAATCCTATCTTATGTCTATTGGTAATTGCAGCTCAATTCAGGTAGAAAAGAATTTACTATCAGTGCTCTAGATCTCCCTTCTTATCTCATTTTTGATTATGGCACTGTTTGTTCCCTGGACAAGTCAAAATGGCAAGAGTTGTTTTAACCTCATTCTTTTCCTTCATTCTTCCATCCCTTTTGGCAACAATTACTGTTGACCTGATCTCCTAAATCTCCCGAACTTCCGCTGCTGTTAGACTCATGAATGCTTAAAACAGCCTTTTTCTCTACCTCCAGTTTTGTTCCTCCAAATCCATTCTATCCATCACAAACAGAATGATCCTTTAAAGAAAAAAATCTGCTTTGAATATTCAACTGCTTAAAATATATTAGATAGTCTTATAGTATATCAAGCCCAAATTAAAGATTACACATTAGTCTCTCTCAATCTGCTTCCTATGTTCTTTCCCAGCCTTATCTCCAGCTTCTCCTTCATGGAGCCCATATGTTTGAACCAAAACTACTCAACATTACCCAAATATGCTACTACCCATTTGCTTAGTTTACTCATGCTATTCTACTACTTCAATGGCCTACTGTTTTTTCCCCATACTTTTTCAATTCTGACTGAAACAATGCCACTTCTTCACATACTTAAAATTCCCTGAGAGAAATATACTAATTCATCTTTATCATGTAACTGTTCTTAGCAGAGGAAAGGAAGCTGAAATCCCAGCCCACCTAGTGGACTAGGGAAGAAGCACATCAGAAGCCAATGAGAAGCTGAGAAGAGCAACACAACCAGGATTTTGGCCTTGAACACATCAGGTCCTTCAGAAGACAGGACCACTCGATTCCCAACCTCATCAACCCTGATAAAAATAAATCTGTTCTGAGTCTTCCCCACTTCCTAAAAGGGCAATTCATCCTTCTAGTTACTCAGGCCAACAACCTCAAAATCATCCAAGACCTTATAAAGGGGGCTTTTAGAGTCTGAGTTTGGGAATGAATTAGTGACAAGTATACAAACAATGAACAAACAAAAAACAAGTCAATTAAAATACACTTTTTTTTGTATTTGGTTTTATTATATTGTATTTATTTATAGTATTTTTACTGTGTTTATAGATGCAGTCATAATGATATAAATCTTGAATACTGATTCAGCCAAAATTATGATATAACTATTCCAAGAATGGAAGAACAGACTGTGAGTGTTAAATTAAATGCTCATCTTCCATAGAAAAAAGTTAGTAAAACTAAAATATGAAGACAAAAGCAGTATAAGCCATGTTATTTAGAAATAAGGCAGTAAATCCAGAAGAAATAAAACTTTAAAGTGGATGTCTGAGGAAAAAAATGGAGATTAGAAGAGGGTAGGTTTTTAAAATATTAATCATATTCTAGTATTTAACTTTTCAAGATACATGCATGTATTATATTAATTTAAAAATGTTATCGGTGGTCTAAGCACCAGGGCCACTCAGCTCCTATTTAAAGCTCAGAATCCTGTGTTTGGAAACTGCTTTACCTAACAGGTTTTTTGTTTTCACATCAAGTTTTCCATGATAATAAAACTACCTTTCTGAAGAAGAAATTTCCTAAATACAGTAGTCTTCTTCAAAAGGAAAAAAGAAGTAATTTTATCCTTGGATTATCTGTTACTTCCTCTGAGCAATATCTTAACATTTTTACAAGAGGATAAGGCCCCCTCCCCCCCCAAAATACCTAAAGTGAGTTTTAGGAGTTCAATGACATTAAATGAGAACTTTACCACATGACCTAAAGAAAAAAATTTAGTATTTGAAGTATTAAATTCTTAACAAGAAAATTATTTAGAAAACTTAACAGTAATATTAACTGCTTTAATTCTAACAGAACAGTAAAACAAAGTGATGAAGAGGCAGAGCTGGTGCCTAATTCCATGTTTTTCTGTCAAGCAATGGGGACGTCTAAACATTCAACAGAAAATCTTTCATTCTAAAAACCGAATGCCATGTGATACTAGCTGGTTAGTCCATTTATGATCATTAGACAATAACATTGCTACAATTTGAACTATACCTGATTTTACCCTCTCAACTAAGCCATTATAAAACATACCTGAACCCTAAATCTCCAAGTTGATCCAACAGGAATCCCAGGAATAGGTCCATAATGATTAGAAGGAACAATAGTACATTCTCTAGTGCGACCAACACAAGCCATTCCCTGTAAGTTACAGAGCAAACTGTTTGAGAAATCAGTTACATTAAATCTTAAAGAAAGTCCTTAGTTCTGATAAAATGTGAATAAAATAGAAACCCAACTATTTATATGATTAACAGTATAACAATTTATATGACTAAATATATAATTAACAATTGTAATATAAAAGTTAAGAATTTATGATGAAAAATAGTTGTTAATATTTCTGACAGTTAAAAGTATCATTTATACCATCACTGCTATTGGTATTGGAACTTTATAAGTTGCATTACAGTAATAAATGTTCTAATTGGGAAGAAAAGGAAACTTTCTTTACCCTGCCCCAGTCTCTCCGGCTTTCAGTACTAGCTGATGGCATCTTTGATTTCTTTTTACTCATCTTGAGTCTTTCACCAGCCTTTACAACCTCACTGGAATCAGTTTTACAGGAAGGACAATACCTTTAAAAGAAAAAAAGAAATTTTGGTAAAACCATATTAAAGCCAACAACAGAATTGTGGCCTTTCTAGGTTAGAACAAGTTTTATGATGTATTACTTGGTGTATATTATAGAGCTTCAGCTGGCATTTAAGTATTAAACTTCTCAAAAGATTTATATAGTTAGGAAAGGCAAAAAAAAAAAAAACCCATCATTCTTTTAAGAGAACTTAAAAGATTATTAATATAAAATCTCAAATTCAGTTCAAAAGCCACACAAAGCCATCCAGTTCAAATGCCACCATGAACCTTACCACTAACCCTGAGAACAGAAGTCATTCATTTTAAGTTATCATTAAAAGAAAACTAAAACAAGACGATTCTAGATTGACTCTAACAAGACGATTCTAGATTATCATCAAAAGAAAACTAAAACAAGACAATTCTAGATTGAGCTATGCAACTGATGAATCTCCTTGTTTAAACTCGTTACCAGAATTTTCAGTCAAAAATATATAGTCTATTACAAGCATACAGGATTCAAGGATGTTTGTTTATATTAGCCTTATCCACAGCTTAATTTTATTTCCCTGTACTTGCTTGTCCTTTAGCCTATTTGTAATTGGTCACACTAATGTAACCTGCATATCATTATAAGCTGCCTTAAATCAAATCTAAGAAGCAAAATATATCCATAGAATGACATGGGACTATTCTTGTGTCACCAAGGAATGGAAACTTTGGAAATATTCTAACAAAGATCTACTGTCCACTACCCCCATTATTAGGTGTATCTGTATTTTCCATTCATAATTATGTATTATATGTGGCCTTTAGAGCAATGACAATGCCTATCCCCACTAGTCAATTATGCCTACCTAATTATGAGATATCTTGGTTAGTACTATAGGAAAGAAAAATGTAAATAATTCAGTCCCTGAATCTGAGTAAGTTAGGCAGTGAAACACAGAGACAAATTCAAGATGAAATTATGTATGAAAAGGCAATAAATACTATCAAGTAAAACCCTTCTAATTAAAATCAGGAAAGCTTCCAGAAATTAAATTTGTTCTAATAAAGACTGTATTTTATCAGAGATCTATGGTTAAAGCAGGTATTATCTCTGTCTGAAAAGAAAATGAGTTCAGGGATTAAATATACAGACATGATTTCAAATAGTAAAGAAGATGATTTAAGATTAAGGAGTCCCAGGTGGAGTGAAGCATCTTGATATGAATGTAGAGATCCTCCACAGAGTAATCTAAGACAGTCTTCTTATTCTATCCTTCAAACATCCCTGGGCTTAATTCCTTCATCAGGTTTGTTCAGAACTTCCTACATGCAAGCCACTAATTTGGGGCTGGGGGAAAATGTTTATGATCAATATGCAGTAGTAAGAAGCCAGGGAAGGCATTCCAAAGAAATATTCTGCATGAAAGTCCTGAGGCCTAAGCAGAAATGGTATGCTTTGAAGAACATAAAGGGTATAGCTGAAGTTTAGTAAATGAGTAGGCACGGGACAGGTCATAGATGGCAAGCGCCTAAGCTTTTAAGTGAAATAGAAAGACATTAGGGAGTTTTAAACAGGACAGTAACCTGATTAAGGACTTAAAATCAGTGGTCTGCTAAGGATAAGGGATAGCTGGTAGGCAATGTCAAAGCAAGGAAACTAGTTAGGTGTTTATATAAAGTCCAGGGAAGAGATGGTGATTTGAACTGAGGGATGAGGGGACAGAAAGATTATGGAGAAGTGACAGTATCTGCTCATATATTATTAGATATAGAGTTTGTGAGGGGGGCAAAGAGGGAATCAAAGATGAAGTTTAGCTTTTTGGCCTGAACAAATCAAATGATTTTATGTGCTGAAGTTTAGGAGAGAAGTATTTTAGTGAGCATGTTTGTGGATATCAAGATCTCCACCCAACTAATTTTGTGATTCCGATCAAGTAAGCAGTTGAATGAAGGAATATAAAACTCAGGGGAGAAATTAGATCTGAAGATACAAATTCAGAACTATTAGTTTTGTATTTAAAGTCTCATGACTAGGTAAGGTCATCTAAGGAACAAGCAGCCAAGAGAGAAAACAAGTTTACGTAGTGCTTTGGGAAAGTCTGAAATCTGGCAAAGGAGAAAAAACTAACAAGAGACTAAGAAGAAAAGGCCAGTGAAGTAGGAGGAAAATTAGATCATATGGTATCAGACATAGAACCTATAAAAAGAGAGCAACTGAGCAATATGAGTAAGGAGAGGATTTAGAACTGACCATTGGGTTTGGCAACACAGAATGTTTCTGAGTTTAACATAAGCAGATACAGTGTAGTAGTAGGAAGGAAAGGCAGATTGGAGTGCTGAGGTATGAAAGGGAGGAGAGGAAATAGAAATAGTCTGTGGAGATAGTTCTTCAGAAGCTTTGTCATGAAGAGAACAGAAATGGGATAGGCAGCTGGTGGGAGAAATGGGATCAAGAGACAGGTTCGCGTGCGTGCGTGCGTGCGTGCGTGCGTGCGTGCGTGTGTGTGTGTGTGTGTGAACTCTAGAGAATCTAGGATACTACTGAGAATGATCCAGTAAGGCAATTTGGGAGAAGAATTAACTCCAGGACTGAAGTTCCTGAAAAGGCAAAAGAATATACAGAACTGTGAGAGCAGGTAGAAGGGTTTACATTTTAGAGAGGTGGGAACTTATCATCCACAAGAACAAACGAGAAGGAAAATATGAGACTTAAAAATATACTTCCTGGTGATAGTGAAATTTGGGCTGTGACCACGCAAGGTAGTTGTAGGGGGTAAAAGGAGAAATTATATTCCTTCCATTCTCTTCCCACCCCTACTAGAGGTTTTTTTTAACAGTTAGCAACCTTCCCAACAGGTGGGGAGAGACCAAAGGAACAGAAAACAAGTCTATCACTCATGATGATACCAGTTAGCGAACTGTGATGTTACTGTTTCTGAGGATGTCATCCCTCAAACTTAAACCCTCCATGCTAGTACGACAACCCAGTTTAAAAAGAAAAAAATCCTTAATGGAACATTTAAAAGTTCATTATAATTTGGGGCACATTTTCCCCACGTTTTTGTAATTATTTCTTTTGTAACTAATACTAATCAGTAGATTTAACTTTGGTGCCTATTCTACTCATAGGATTAAGTACGATAATCCACATAAAGCACTTTGTTAGCATCTAGCATATGCAAGTATTTAGTAACTATTAAGAACTACAGAACATAATAGGTGCACCTAAAGTAGTAGGATCCACAAAAGCTTCCTAGATGAAGTCATACTTAAGTGAAAACCTGAAGTTAAGCAAAGAAGACAATGTTTCCAGGAAGAAAATGTGTCAAGTGTAAAAGCCTAGAGGACAGAAAGAATATGACTTAAGAAGCTGAAAGATAATCTGGCTAGAATGTACAGTATTGGGGAAATGGAAAAGGAAACCTATAAGAGATATAGCTGGGAAAATAACTTTAAAATATTGTGCAGGGCCCTGCAGGGCAACATACAACCTCTGAAAAAAGGAGTAACACAATTAGATTTGCATTTTTGAAAGAACAGGCTTCAGTATTGGAGCAGTGACCAGAGGGAATTAAAAAATGGAGCTAGAGACCAGCTCAGAAGCTGTTGTAATAATCAAATAAAGGTTATTAATGCCAAATAACCTTGGTTATAAAATTTTAAGCACTTTAATACACACTATGTAGCTTTCAAAATCTACCTCTGGTGTTTCAAATACGTCATTTCACATTCAATTCTTAACATGTTAAAAAAAAAAACCCTGATAATCATACCAGTATTCTTCTTCAGGGACCTTCTCCAAAGGTGGATTCAGGCAGTATATATGATAGGCCATGTTACATTCATCACATAGAAGCTGCATGTTGGGTTCCTGTTTTCCACCACATACACGACAGGAGCAGGAATGGCATTTCTTATCTGGGTCTCCACCACAAAAGTCACATTCAGGGTCATTTTTCCCTATTAAGAACAAAATTATAGCAAGCCCAGTCATATCATTTTTATATCTATAAACCTATAAAGGAAAGCATATGAAAATAAGCATACAGCTTTTTTAATGAAGAGAAAGGAACCTTAAGGAATTATCAAGTATGGGACTTTAAGAATAAATGCCTGACATGGGAAGACAGTATATACAGAGAAGACAATGATTCTATAGCATCTTAAAAAAAAAAAGAATAAATGCCTGAGCCTCACTCTAGGCTTATGAGTCAATATTTCAGGGATGAAGCCCAGGCATATGCAGGCATTAATTACCTGCAACCATGACAGTTATGTGTAATTTTGACTTAAAAATTCTTGTTGACTAGACCCACAGTTCCCCAAATGTGTACCAATATGCCCAGGGACTATGTAGTTAACTCACCGGGGCACCATATCTTCAAATTTTAAGGGAAATATAATATTCTGCCAAACAAAGTTATTTGAAACCAACTATTAAATAAATGGAACTGTTAGGTAACATTTATTTTTTTGATATTGAAGTATAGTTAATATACAATATTATATTGCTTTCAAGCATAGGTACTATCTATTCTGCATATTCAAACCTTCCTTGGGTGAGCAATAGGAAGGGGAGGGCTGTTAGGGATTAGCAAGCCCATTTTGATACCCATACATGCTCTTTTAGTAACAGAAGTGACATTTCTAATCTTGTAAATCCATTTAAAATTCTGGCAAGTAAAAGGTACCATTCATTGTGTTTGGCCCCCCTGCATTCCCACCCAAATCCAAACACCTTTTGCCAAAGTACTCCCTTATAATTTTAAAAATATACAACTGTACACAAAAAGTCTTAATGTTCATAATCCCAAAAGTTAAATTTAAATGCCAATGAAAAGAGGAATAGTTGGATAGATTTTAAGAAAAATAAATTTACAAGAAATTTAATACAGAGGTGGACAGGTATATTAAATTCAAAAAGGAAACTGGAGACTTAAAAGGAAATGAATTGTATAAATACACAAAGATGAATTATATAGGACCATGTCTAGAAGAATGACATATATTGCTAATGTGATGATCTGAGTTCTATATTGTTTGAATTTAGTTTTATACTCTCAATACATTGAGAAAATTCACATCAGAGCTGATCTAAGAATAAAAAGGAAATGGGAAGCACTACTTGACAAACGAGAACAAAGGAGAAGGCTGCTGCTGATTAGTACTTTCTGACTGATCACTGCCTACATTCTTGTCAACAAATGCAAGATTACAATTTTGTTTTACTTCTGCTAAGGTAGCTGTGACAACATGTAAGTAATGGACACACAAGAGATGTGAAATGCAAAAGGCATGTTAAGAATTTTGGTTTGGAGACTGATCTAATCAGTGGCAGTCTGGCTATGGCTATGAAATGGTTTTCTTATATACAAGTTCAAAGGTGAGTAGCTAAAAGATGATTAGCATTAGGCACAAGAGAGAAATACATGCATATAGATAATATACCATGAGTGGGAGAGAACAGACACGAGAAAAATCTAATCAACCTTGGTTTTGCATTGTGGTTTACTGAGAACTACTAAGTTACTTAACAGGTTTACACATCAAGTTGCCTTTATTTCTGGGATATAACCATACAAGTAGTCAAACTATGACTTAAAGTTAATTCAAATTTAAATATATTAGCACTGCAGCCTCAAAAAAAGAGAACGGCTTAAGACCATTCAATGTTAACATGAAAATCTACTTACTGGTATGTTAAAGGTTTTGTCCTAATCTTGCACAACTGTGGTAAGAGTTTAGGCAGGACCCTTTTAGTCTTAAGTATTTGTTTTCCAGAATATCCTAGATATTGACATGTGCCATAAAGCCAATGGATTGCTCCTCACAAAAAAATTCAGAATTAAGAGTATTAAGACACTAACCTATTTTGAAAGATAACTGAACCAACAATGAAAAGACCTAAAATCTAGTCATACTTGTTACCAGCTAGCTGTATTATATTAAGCAAATAAAATGTGTACAATGAAGAAGTAGGACTACATTCTTATAGTCCAATGATTATATAAAACTCATTTATTGCCTCCCAGAAATTCAAGGCTCAACCAGCATTATTCTTCTCAGGGTCTATGGAGATAAAAATGTCTCACTATTAAAGATGAATTCTGAATGGCCTTAAAACTGCTGAAATGGGTTTTTTTGTATGGACAGGGTCTGTAATAAGAGAAAACTGTAAAAAAAAAAAAAAAAGGCAATAAAATCACGAGAAAATATTTCTTTGAAAACAAATTTTATCATTTGAGAGAAATCCATTAAACAAATGACAACAAAGGAGATCAAAACCACTGTCTTGAAAATAAGTTTGTATGGTCTGGGGTTTTATACTTCCTCAAAAGTTTTTACTGGGCAGTTAAAATGCCAATCATGTACATATATGTTGTCTGAAGTCTTAAGAAAAATCCGTACTTAAAAACTTTCCATCTGCCAATGAAAGAGGATGGGCTCCAGGTCTTTCAATCTTGAAGATTTCATTTACAAATGTTATCTGGCAGTCATTTAATTTTCCTTCAGAACCCCTGTTTAAAAAAGGAAGAAAGGTTAATTTCTGCTAGCAAAATCTAAACCATATGCAAATAATTGAGCCATTTTGGAAGCTCACTGACCTTGGTCTATTTATAAATTGGGATTACAGCTATTCCAATCACTTGGAGTTATTGTTTGCAACAGAACAAAGTTGAATAGTGAGTAGTTATCAATATTCAAAGTTAAATGTTAACTTTAGTGTAATGTTAGGAAAAAAACTGGGGTACTTCACTTAGATTATCTGTCAAGAAGATACCTATCTTATAAACTTAAAATTTAATTTAAACAAAGATTTAAACATATTTCCAATAAACAGTCAATTTCTAGGCAAAAAGAACTCATTAAAAAGAAGTCTTTCAAATACTGAGCCACATTTTTCGTAGATGCAATTTATACCTGTCTGCATATGCTTCTAAGTTTCCTACTGTGTGCATTTATTATTTCCTTTTAATCTGTGAACCCTTGCTTTATATGTTTGAAGCTTATGTTACTGGATGCACACAGATTTATGATTCTTAAATCTTCTTACAAAATATCTCTATCTCTAGAAATACATTCTGTATCAAAAGTATTTAATTTTTTGGTTAGAATTTGCTTGATTTCTTCCATCTTTTCATCTTTTCGTTTAAAACATTTAATGTCAAATATACATAAATGCAGAAAACTGGATAAACGTACAGTTTAGCCAATCATAAGACACACATCTTTGTATTCCCCAACCATGACAGTAGACAGAACTATTTCAGAACCCCTTGACATGCTCCCTCCCAATCACATCCTCTTTTACTCACTTCCAAGACTTGTGTTTACCTTAATTTTCTTCAGTCTTACCACTTGTCTGCCTCCCTAAGCATAGGATATAAAGTTTTGCCTGTTTTAAAAGACTCTCATTTATAAATTCCTGTGATCTCTTTCTTCTCCGCAATTTGTTGAAGAACTCCCATCATTCGTTCTGTAATAAATTCCTATATCTTGACTTTGATATTTGCATTCCCAAAGTGTAGTGTTTTTCTGTTGTGTATATTTTTAGTAACTTGATGATTGGATCTGGAGTGGCGGTTTAAAAACCTTGGTTCACTGCCTGTTTTTGTGAAGGAAGTTTTACTGGAATATAGCTACACCTACTTGCTTATATATTCTCAATAGCTGGTTTTGTGCTACAACAGCAGAGTTGAGTAGTTGTGACAGTAGAGACCATCTGGCCACCGAAGTTAAACTACTTACAATCTGACCCATTACAGAACAAAATTGCCAGGCCTTGCATTAAGAAATATTTAATCAAATCCACGTTCATTTTTTGGTGGAACTATTTGTAGGTCTACTCCATCAGGAATAGTATAGTTGTCTTTTCCTATGATAACAGCAGCCACAGATGCTCAATGCCTAGATTTACTAATTCACCGGGGATTGGTAAATGTTGATATTCAAGTTCTATCTTTCCCTGCTCATTTACTTACTAGAATTCCAGAGAAACTTGACCTGTCAACTATTTGGTGACTCAGTGACAAATGTAGATTGTTTTTTTTTTTTAAAGAAACAGTTCTCTAACATCCTATGTAGATGACCAGTGAGCCTCTATATTACTAGGAATTCGCATATATATGTTTCAATCCACTGCAGCTATTTTCCATGTTGATGCTCAAATTGTCTTATTTTTGGCCCATGGGATCTTCAGTTGACTCCCAAATCTTTCTGACAATTATTTAGTCTTTGTGGGCTTCCTTGTTATTCTTAACACAAGATGTTCCAAGTTCATCTTGTACATTTTCTGCCTCTAGCCTGGAGTCCTAGTCCTATCTACAAGTAAGCCTGATTTCTTTAGGTGGAAATGTTATTTGAAGACCACAGTTTAGGCACTAGAAAATTACTACAACTGGATTGACCACTGTTTCTAGGTTTTTTTAGGGGACAGAGCTACAAAATGCAAACACACACATTAACACATGCACAAAATAACTCATGAGTTCATACAAATACTTTCTGTTCAAATTCAGGCTAAAGGGTAATTTTACTCTTTTAAAAAAACAATTACATATGCTTCTCCTTTTTCCTCCAGCAGAAAATTCTAGTTCTCAAAGACACTAGAAATATCTAAATTACAATGCTATGCTACTTCTTTATTTCACATTATCACCAGTTGTCATTATGATCACTGAGAATAGTTGAAATTTCTTCTATATTTCCCATGCATTAGTTATATCTACAATGTCAGACCACATAACCATTATATACTTTCTCTTTTGTATCTCCTTTAGTCCTGCTTCTAAATGTAGAAATATTTTTAATGTTTGTCACTATGTCAAATTCTCTTCCTTGATGGTATGAAGCTAGTTCTCTAGAAGATTCTCCAAAAGCATTCATGAGAATACCTAACCTAGTCCTATTAAGCTAGCGACAGTTTGTGGCCAGCCTTTACACTGAAGGCTAGTTTGGCTAGACTTTAAATCCTTGGCTCACCTTTTCTTGACTCATGAATGTCTTTTCTGGAAACTTTCCTTGTAAGGGTGCTATCCTGGTTTTTTCTTTTTCTTCAAATTTAGTATGGATTTTGACATCAACACTTTTCTTTTGCTTGTTTTTAATAAAATTAATTTCCTCAAACCTGTAGAGGGTGTAATTTCACTTACTTTTGCTAGTGCACAGCCATAGAGCTCTCTTAAGAGCTCACTCTGTTGTTGCTTTTTGGAGAAGTATTCAAAACTATGGGGGCTAGAATCTAATCTGACAGAAAGCAGATGCTGATGGTAGTGATAATGACTTTAATGGAACCCAGAGGAACTTTTTAAAGTGACGAAAATGTTTTGGATCTGGATTACAGTGGTGGCATGGGTATATACACTTGCCAATATTCGCTTAAAATATACATGTCACTTATATAAACTACGCTTCAAAGAGGTTTTTTTTCCCAAGACACTATGGAAGCTTACTTTCTTAAATCTCTTGGCTCATTCTCCTTAACTAATGCTTTTTTCTTTTATTATCCCTGTCCTACTAAATTTGAATTGTAGCCCCTGTAGTTTCTTCTCAAAATGGGGCTTTTTAGCATTACCTAATTTTGAGAGTTCATATGACTCTAATTCCCTTTTAGGCCTTACTGCAAACTGCTTGTACTCAACCAAACTGGGGTCCATACCCCTTCTAGCTTCAGTTGCTAAATTTATTATCTACTACTACATAACAAATCACCCTGAAACTCGCAGCTTAAAACAAAAATTACCTCATAATTTCTGTGGATCAGGAATTTGGGAGCAGCTTAGCTGGACAGTTCTGGCTCAAGATCTTTCAGGAGGTTTCACTCAAGCTGTTGACCAGGGTTGCAGTCTCATCTAAAAGCTCAAATGGGGAAAGACCAACAGGCTGTCTGAATCCCCACAACATGGTAGCAGGCTTTCCTCAGAGGAAATGCTCTTAGGGAGTCCAAAGTGGAAGCTTCAATGTTTTTATAACTGAACCTCAGAAGTGGTATACCATCTCTTCTGCCATATTCTGTTGGTCACACAGAGCAACCCTAGAAAATGTGGGAGGGAACTACACGAGGTTCTGTTTACTGGCGGGCAATCACTGGAGGTCAGTTTTGAAAGACGGCCACCATAGCTATTATCTCAAAATAGCTTTGTGAGCTAATTTATTATTTTACAATTCTTGGATCCATCATATATCTGTGGTTAAGTTCTCTTTTCTCTTGCACACCGACTGATACCACAGGTCTTGTAGCTTTCAGTTGTTTATCCCACCAGCTCTTCTGTTATTTGTAGGGGATACCACATTACCCTGAAGGTTGTAGATGTTGCCCATTAGTTTTTAGATTAGATATTTTAGTTGCTCTGTATGTTCTTATAAGGACATCTAGAGAGATTAAAAAATCTATGCTGTTGTCATCCTGCTAGAAACCCATCCATCAATATATTTTCAAATTCTGTCACTTCAGGTTTAAAGAGTCTTTCTTTAAGCAGCATCTGGGTGTTGTTTTTAATTCAGTCTCTTAATTTTTTTTGAAAACTACAGTATTTAGTTCACATGTAAGTTAATATAATGGTTGGTACATTTGGGTTTGTTTCTACCATTCTACTATAGGTTTTTTAATTTTACCTACCTTTTTTCTTTTATTTTGATTGCCTTCTTTTGGATTATTTTATTATTTCATTTTTACTCTATTAATTTGCCAATTTTATTAATTTTTAGTAGTTTTAAAGAGAATGTGCCATGCAAACCTAACAAATCAATCTACTTTAAACTTTACTTTCACCACTTTCTTGATCATATCAGTATCACACCTACATTTACCAACCCCTATTTTTTTATGGTTGTCATAATTTTATTCTATATATATTTTAAACTTCACTATTATTGTTTTAAACAGTTTAGTTACACTTACTCAAATAGTTGTCCTCCCTCTGTTACTGTATTTCCATATTTCTATTGGAGATTACCTACCTTCTGCTTAAAGAACCCCCCCTTTAGTATTTCTTTTAATGCAGATCTGTTGGTATTGAATTCTCCCAGGTTTGATTGGCTAATATTATTCTGACTATTTTTTTTTGTAGGATACTTTCATTAGAAATCTATTACTAAGTCAAGAATTTTTTAAATCAGTTTTTCACATGCCAATCTACTGCCTTCTTGCTTACACTGTTTCCAGTGAAAAGTCAGTCATCTTCCAATTGTTTTTTTCTTTAATTTTCAGCAGCCTTATTCCAATATGCCAGTGTGTGTTTTCTTTATATTTATCTTGCTTAGGGTTCACAGAACTTCTTCAACCTGAGCTGCTATCTTTTTATCAGATAGTTTCAGAAAATTCTAGCTATTATATTTCATATATTGCTTTCACACTACACTTTCCTTTTTGAGAACTACAAATAGATGTAATACATACCTTTTTATGAAGTCCCACATGTCTAGCTGTCTTTTCTGTGTTTCATTATTTTTTCCATGTTTCAGTTTGGATATTTTTCATTGACTTGGCTTTGAGTTTACTAATTCTATCTTCTGCTAT